GTGTTCTCACATTTTTTATAAAATGAGGTTATTAATATGTAATTAAATTCAATTTAGAAAGTACTTTTCTTAGGATAAAAGTGAATTAATGGAGTTTAAACAAGTAACCGCCACATCCGTATAAACCATTATTTTTTAACAAAAATTAATATTTACATTTATCGTGGGATAGATTTTATTAAATGGGAAGTGGTGTTTTTTTCTCAACCTGACTTAGTGAGAAATCGAGTAAACTGACGAATATTGATAATTCAAAAATAAAACAACGCAAAACCTGGGAATGATCTTATCTTCTAATTATCTTCTATTTCAATTTTGGAACTTTTAAATACTTCGACTTGAATTTTTTGATTTTTCGATTTGTTTATGTTTTGATTGCTCGATTTTTAAAATTTTTAAATTTTCGAATATTTAAATATGTAGTAGATTTTTCACTTTTTGTTTCGATTTTTTGTCTTCTCGTTTTTAGATTTTCGCCTTTCAGGTTTTAGATTTTCCGGTTTTTCACTTTTTGGTTTATCGTTTTTTTTTTGGTTAAAATTTTTCAATTTTTAATTTTCTCATTTTTCGATTATAAGTTACTTAAATTTCTCAATTTTTCGATTTCGATTTCCGGATTTCTCAGTTCTTCGATAATTCATCTTTTTGAGTTTTCGATTTTCCAATTTTTCAACGTTTTAGTTTTGGGATTTATGTATTTTAATTTTTCGACTTTTCCATTTTTCAATTTTTGGCGTTTCTAAGTTTTTCGATTTTTTTATTTCTCAATTTCTCGATTTTCAAATTTTCAGTATTAATTTTGGGATTTTTTAATATGTTATTTGGATCTTTAAATTTTTAGATTTTTCGACTTTTTGTTTTTTTGATTATTTACTTGTTGGATTTTTCAAAATATTGCGACTTTTTAAATCTTACATTTTTCGATTTTTCAATTTTTTGATTTTTCGATTTGTCGATGTTTTGATTGTTCGATTTTTTAAATTTTCAATTTTTCGAATTTTTAAACTGTAGATGTTTCACTTTTTTGTTATTTCGATTTCTCAATCTTCCGATTTCTCAATCTTCCGATTTTTTGCCTTCTCGTTTTGAGATTTTTCAATTTTTCGGAATTAATTTTTCAGTTTTCGATGTTTCCATTATTCACTTTTTGGTTCATCGGTTTTCTTTTAAGTTAAAATTTTTCAAATTTGTATTTTCGATTTTGCGATTTTTAACCACTTCCATTTCTCAATTTTTCGACTTCTCGATGTCTCGATCTTTTGATCTTTCGATTTCGCGATGTTTAAATTTTTCAATTTCGATTTCTCAGTTTTTCGATAATTAATTCATGCTTTCGATATTTCGGTTTTGGGATTTATGTATTTACATTTTTGGATTTTTCAATTTTCCAATTTTTGACGTTTCTAAATTTTAGAATTTCCCGATTTCTCAATTTTTAGATTTTCAAATTTTCAGTGTTTAAGTTTTGGGATTTTTCGATATGTATTTCGATTTTTAAATTTTTAGATTTTTAGACCTTGTTTTTTTTTATTTTTTACTTACTTGATTTTTCAAAATTTTGCGATTTTTAAATCTTGCATTGTTCGATTTTTCAATTTTTAGAATTTTCGATTCGTTGTTGTTTCGATTTCTCTCTTTTGATTTCTTGCCCTCTCGTTTTTAGATTTTTCGATTTTTCAATTTTCGATGTTTCGATTTTTCATTTTTTGGTTTATTGGTTTTTTACGTTAAAATTTTTGAATTTTGAATTTTCCCATTTTTCGATTTCTAGCCACTTCCATTACTCAATTTCTCGATTTTTTGACTGCTCGTCTTACCGATTTTTTGATGTTTCGATTTCACCATTTTTAAATTTTTTCGATTTCGCGTTTTTTTCAATTTTTTTCGATTTCAACTTCTCGATTCCTCAGTTTTTTCGATTATTTGAGTTCCCGATTTTTCGACGTTTCAGTTTCGGAATTTATGTATTTAAATTTTTAAATTTTTCGCGTTTCTAAATTTTTGGATTTTTCGATTTCTCAATTTTTCGATTTCTCGATGATGTTTTAATTGCTCGATTTTTTAAATTTTGAATTTTTCGAAATTGTAAATTGTAGGTTTTTTAATTTTTGTTTGTTCGATTTCTCAATCTTTCGTTTTTTTGCTTTCCCGTTTTTAGATATTTCGCTTTTTCGTTTTTAGATTTTCCGGTTTTTCTATTTTTTTTCTCGATCCTTTAATGTTCCGATTTCGCGATTTTTCAATTTTTCGATTTTCCAATTTTTCAATGTTTCACTTTTGGGATTTATGTAATTGAATTTTTCGATTTTTCAATTTCTCGATTAATGGGTTTTTTACTTACGAGTTTTTTTTAAATCTTACATTTTTAGATTTTTCAATTTTGTGATTTTTCAATTCGTTGATGTTTTGATTTCTCGATTTTGTAAAATTTCAATTATGTATTCGAATTTTCGACTTTTAGATTTTTCACTTTTTTGTTGTTTCGATTTTCCAATTTTTCAGTTTTGGGATTTATGTATTTACATTTTTCAATTTTCCAATTTTTGACGTTTCTAAATTTTTGAATTTTTTGTCCTTCCGATTTCTCGATTTCTCAATTTTGGGATTTTTCGATAGGTATTTCGATTTTTAAATTTTTCGACTTTGTTTTTTTTTTTGGTTTTTTACTTATTTGATTTTTCAATTTTCGATCTATCGATTTTTCAGTTTTTCGCTTATTGTTTTTTTTTTACGTTAAAATTTTTCAATTTTGAATTTTCCCATTTTTCGATTTCTAGCCCTTCCATTTCTCAATTTCTCGATTTTTCGACTTCTCGACTTATCGATTTTTTTCGCTTTCAACTTCTCGATTTCTCAATTTTTCGATTGTTTGAGTTTCCAATTTTTCGACGTTTCAGTTTTGGGATTTATGTATTTAAATTTTTCAATTCTTCGCTTTTCTAAATTTTTGGATTTTTTGATTTCTCAATTTTTCGATTTCTCGGTGATGTTTTAATTGCTCGATTTTTTAAATTTTCAATTTTTCGAATTTTTAAATTGTAGATTTTTCACTTTTTTGTTGTTTCGGTTTCCCAATCTTTCGATTTTTTGCTTTCTCGTTTTTAGATTTTTCGTCTTTTCGTTTTTAGATTTTCCGGTTTTTCAAAATTTTTTTCTCGATCCTTTGATGTTCCGATTTCGCGATTTTTCGATTCGTTGATATTTTGATTTCTCGATTTTGTAAAATTTCAACTTTTCGAATTTTTGAATTTTGGATTTTTCACTTTATTGTTGTTTCGATTTCAGTCCTTCGATTTTTTGCCTTCTCATTTTCAAATTTTTCGATTTTCCAATTTTTCGTTTTATCGGGTTTTTTAAGTTTAAATTTTAAAATTTTGAATTGATCTTTAGCTATTTCAGTATCTCAATTTTTCGATTTTTCGACTTATCGATCTTTTGATGTTTCGATGTCGCATTTTTTTCAATTTTTTCGATTTCGATTTCTCGATTTCTCAGTTTTTCGACTTTTCAGTTTTGGAAATATTGTATTTAAATTTTTCAATTTTTGGCATTTCTAAATTTTTGGATTGTTCGATTTCTCAATCTCTCGATTAATCGATTTTTTAATTTTCCGATTTTTCGATTTTTTATCTTTCTGTTTTTTTCATTTTTTACTTACTCGATTTTTAAAAATTTTGCGAGTTTTTAAATCTTACATTTGATTTTTCAGTTTTTCGGTTTTGACAATATTTTGATTTCCCCTTCAAAGATGAAACATCACATATTTAAAAAAATACGCTAGGAGCCCCTCAGATTCTGTAAAATTCTTTCCAAATAAAGAACTCCACGGATCCTCCGGATTCTTTAAAAGAATTTAATATCAAAACACAAGAGGCTCGAAATTTTTTTTATATTAAAAAAACAATTGGCGTCTGCAAGACTTTCTCTTTTAAACGTAAAAAATTGATCAAAAGTCATTTAGACTGGCCTCTGAAGTAAAAATATATTTGCAGTACATTCTTAACTTCAATTGTTTATGTTTATACATTCAAAGAATGCGACCATTAAGCACGCAGCTACAATGCAGAACAACGTTCTGAATATTATTTTGGATAAGTCGATGTTATTATGACAATTTTTATTTTATCATTCTTAAAAATAGGCGGGCGCAACATTACTGTATTTTAAAATTTTCGAACCCCGGCGCCCTCCACAAACCAGTGCTCGTATATTGGTATAAAATGTGATAATGTAAAAACGAGAAGGCGAAAAATCGAAAGAAAATCGTTAAAGCGAAAATTGAAAAATCGAAAAATCGAAAAACGAGCGGGCAAAAATCGAAAGATTGAGAAATCGAAACCTTTACCGATATTTTCAACAAATTTAATTTCAGTGTTGCAAGCTGGAAAGTAAATGTGTAGCTAACCTTCTAACAATTTCAATGTTAAATATACACCAGATGGAAATTATAAACGAAGATCTTTCACTATCTAATAGATAGATAATGTCAACTCTCGACTGCGCGAGTCTTTTGTGTTCTGTACTTTGTATAACTTGAGACGTTCATTGTTCACATTTGGACCTTTTGGAGGAGGAACATTTGTGCAGCAACTGGATCCCATACAAGTATCACCATTACAAACTTCAATTATTTTGTTTACGTAGCCACTTGATATTTAATTATTTTTGTCTGCAAACATTTGGGAAGCTTTTGTTTAAGTTTGTTGCGCTATTCAAATAATCTTTAATGTTTTCTTTGCATATTTTATGTTTTCATACCACAGCATAGTTTTCACAAAATTGAGTAACTTAAATTACATTACTATGCATTGCAAACGCGAGCGAAGCGAGCTGTAGTTGTCTAATAGCACGTTAATTACCCACCCCTGTACTGCTGCGTTATTGTGTACATCCTGTTCGCACCTCGATGCGGTCCATTGTTTTGATTATGTACAGAAGATGGGGGAGAATTGAAACGCGAGTGATGGACGTCGGACGGGTAATTAAAAATGAAAAATTACCTATCATCAGCAGCGACACGGTCAGATGGTCCCGGCCAGCGGGTCTCATGGCACCGAGGGCTGTGCCGACCAGAACACAGCAGACGGCGACCAACGCGATCACCGCTATGAACCATCGCAAGGAACCAGGTTTCCATGTCAGCAAACCGCAGCAGCCTTTCGGTGGCTCTTCGGAAAAACGCCCTCTGAAAAAAAAAATAAACAAGGTTAGTGAACTGATCAATGTGTCTGAGAGTAAGTAACGCATAATTTTTGAGATGACGTCATCGAATCTTTGGTGGGAGTAAACAGGAACACTTAGTTCTAACGGTTGTATGATAAATTGTGTCGCAGATTTTCTAACAGGGATCGAATTTCGGCAAGCTATTTATGCAAAACCCACTTGGACCTTTGGATTAGAACTTGCGCAATTCTCTGGAGTAATACCACGATATTCCCGACAAGAATCGGGAAAAACAATCAGGGCAAGTTGAGGGGTTAACCAACTCTTAAATTCAATCAACACATAATGAGAGCACAAAATTCCCTAGTAATCCGGGCATAGAGGGCGCTTTCTAAATTATTAATTAACTCGCAGCGCGGCTGCATAGAGAAGAGTTTAAAGCAGCCATAAGCCTCCGAGTCCTCCACGAGCAATTATCTCTTAATTACCATTATTAACGACATTGTAAATTCTCTATAATCGAATCGAGCGAGGAGCTAATGTACTAATTAATAATTAGGATGCGCCCTGTGTTGCAAACGACAAATTAAAGAAGAAAAAATCCGCTTTCGAACCTTGCTGGGACTTGGCATGCCGCGATTGTGGACAATGCTGGAGGAATTATAAACGGTCAAGGTCGAGAACCAGCGGCCTTGTGAACATGTGGTACCTTACTTGAGTAATCATATGCATGGGAACAGGTACGGACCGATGTGTTGTAATAAATTATCGATGCCTGTAATAATAGATCTGTTACCAGATTTGGAAGCGATGGGACAAGGTCCGCGTTAACGCCACAATGGAACCTTATCTGGGCGTAATTGTTGATAGCACGTCACGCATTTTAATTGGGTCTTCTGAATTTTTAAAGATTCATAACAATTATATCTTCACGGTCAAGATCATAGCGCAGTTCCTGTACCAATAGAACGTCCTTTCGTGCCCACTAACATTTTACGAAGTTAAAGTCGGCAATAACTGTGGAAACCTTTCTGAATTTAGCGACTTTTCTGGTGATAACGGGTCATGGCACTTGCGGGTTTGCTTGCGCAAAGCCAACGGAAAACCACAGATTTATCAGTTATTGTTGTCGGCGATGGGATGGTCTGGATGCACTTGATTGGAATTGACAATGAGGGGTGGGTTCATGAAATTTACATTTCGTATCGTGATAAGCGAGCGAAACACATTAACGGGGAGCAATAAACATATTAATTAATCATTGCCGCACTATGGTTGTACTGGCTATAACAATTGATTATATGGGGGAGGACGCGAGATGTGGTTGCAACATGTTACAATGCGGGTGCATGGTCCTGAGGCAACAGGGGGCGAATACCATGATGTATTGTGCGTGTTATGCATGAATCTATACAGGGAAAGTATTTTTGCCGCTGTTGTGTTGCGGGTTTTGCATATATTTGGGTGGAATAATGGGACAACAACAGTGCAGTTTCCCCGGAAATTGTAACACATTTTGGTTGGTGGCAAAATTGGGGTTGCGAACTTTGACACGAGCAGGGATTTTTGCAAAGGGGAAAGTTGTGTGAAGTTGAAGAAATGAATCAATAAATATAACTGCTTTAATGCTAGAACTTCCACAATGTGTTTTCAAATTAATAAAACTGCATTTTTAGTATAAGTGTCAAAAAATTATATTGTCGTGCTTGCGTTTTTAGTTGACATGGAAAATTTTTCGGAAAAAAAGAAATTTTAGGAACATTAAGATCGTCCAAAATGCATAATTTTTCTATGCCAGGAATTGTAATTCGTATTTGATTAATTTTAATATCAAGAATTTCGGAAAAAAATTGCCTTAATTTCTATTTATCATTCATTTCACTTTGTTTATGACGTCTCAACGGTAAAATATCAATATCAAGTTTTCCATAAATTTTAGTATCAATATGTTGAAAAATTAATGCGAAAGTTTCTAGAAAAAATACACTTTGTTACAGATTTTTTCTATTCTTTCAGATTCTCTCAATATCCCTGAAGATCCCCTCATATTTCCTTAGAATTTTTCAAGATTGCTATAGATCCCTTCAGATCCCTGCAGGCTGATCCAGATTCTATCAGGTTTACCTAGATTCGTTTAGATTGTCTGAGATTCTTTCCGATCCCCTCTGATTCTTTCTAATTCTTTCCGATTTTTAGTTTCATATTCCCTCCGATTTTCTTGGATTTCCTCAGATTCTTCCAGATTCTTTCAGATGTTTTCAGATTCTTTCCTTTTTTTAAGATTCTCCTTTTCGGATTCTTTCGCATTATTCCGGATGCTTTCGGATTGTTTCACATTCTTTCAAATTTTTAAATTCTATTCAGGTCGTTTTAAAACCGTACAGATACTTTCAGATCCCTGCAGATTTGTTCAAATTCTTCCAGATTTTTCTAGATTCTTCGAAATTCTCACAGGTTTCCTCAGATTCTTTCCGATCTCGCAATTTCTCTCAGATTCCATCAAATTCCTTCATATTCTTACAATTGCTTTCAGATTCTTTCGTTTTCTTTCTGATTCTCTCGTTTCTTCGATTTTTTTTTATTTTTTCTGATTATTCCGGATGGTTTTCCATGCTTCCGGTTTGTTTCCAATCAAATTTTTTTAGATTCTATCAAAGACCGCCAGGAATCCTCAAGATTCCTTAAAATTTTTCAGTTCTATTCAGATCGTTTCAGATCCTTTCAAATGCCTGCAAATTCTTCCAAAATAGAATCTAAAAAAAACTGGAGGAATCTGGAAGAATTTGGTAGAATCTGCAGGCATTTGAAAGGATCTGAAACGATCTGAATAGAAGGAAGCTTGAGGATTCCTGGCGGTCTTTGATAGAATCTAAAAAAATTCGAAAGAGTCCGAAAAAGGCGAAAGGGAAGATCAGAAAGACTCCAAATAATTCGAAAAGAAGAGTCGTAAAGAAAATGAAAAAATTTGAAAAAATTTTAAATTCTATCAGATTCTTTCATATTTTTTCGATACTCTCAGAATTTTTCACCTTTCATATCGCTTCAGAATCTTTCAAATTTTTCCAGATAATTTCAGATTCTGTCAGGTTTACCTAGATTCGTTCAGATTGCCTGAGATTATTTCCGATCCTCTCTGATTCTTTCTAATTCTTTTCGAGTCTTAGTTTCATATTCCCCCAGATTCTTCCATATTCTTTCAGATTTTCTCGTTTTTTTAAGATTGTCTCTTTAGGATTGTTTTTGATTATTTCGGATTGTTGCACTTTCTTTCAAATTTTTAAATTCTATTCAGGTCGTTTTAAAACCGTACAGATACTTTCAGATCCTTGCAGACTTTTTCAAATTCTTCCAGATTTTTCTAGATTTTTGGAAATTCTCACAGGTTTCCTCAGATTCCTTCAAATACTTTCCGAATCTCTCAGATTCTTTCCGATCTCGCAATTTCTCTCAGATTCCATCAAATTCCTTCATCTTCTTACAAATGCTTTCAGATTCTCTCATTTTCTTTCTGATTCTCTCGTTTTTTCGATTTTTTTTTATTTTTTCTGATTATTCCGGTTTGTTTCCAATCAATTTTTTTTAGATTCTATCAAAGACCGCCAGGAATCCTCAACTTCGTTCAAATATTTCACTTCTATTCAGATCGTTTCAGATCCTTTCAAATGCCTGCAGATTCTTCCAAATTCTTCCAGATTCCTCCAATTTTTTTTAGATTCTATCGGATTTTTCTAAATTCTTCGAAATTCTTCAAAATTCTCTCAGATTCTCACAAGTTCCCTCAGATTCTTTCAGATTCCTTCAAATTCCTTCAGTTTCTTTACGAATTTCTCAAATTCTGTTAGATTCCCTCAGACTTCCTAGGATTCTCCGGATTTTAATAATATTAATTGCTTTCAAATTCTCCCACATCGCTTCAGAGTCCTGCAAAATCTTCAGATTTTTCCAGATTCTTCTAGATTTTTCGAGATTCCCTCAAATTCATCTGGGGAATATGAGAAAATCTAGAAGAATCTAGTAAAATCTAAAAGAATCTAGAAAAATCTTGAAGGATTTGTAAGGATCTGAAACATTCTGAATAGAACTAAAACATTTTAAAGAATCTTGAGGATTTCTGATGGTGCCTTTGAAAGAATCTGAAAAGTTCGAAAGAATCCGAAAAAGTTCGAAAGAATCCGAAAAATACGAAAGGGAGAATCAGAAGACTCCAAATAATTCCAAAAGAAGACTCGTAAAGAAAATGAAAGAATTTGAACAAATCTTAAATTCTATCAGATAATTTCAAATTTTCCCACATAATTTCAGATCTCTGCAGACTGTTTCAGATTCTTCTAGATTCTTCTGAATTCTTCGAAACGGCTAATATCTATCTACCAAGATAAGAATACCAATAATTTTTCACGTTTATTTTTAAAATATTAGAAAAAAAAAAACATTTTGTTGGCCAGAAATAATCAAAATAATTACACGGAGCAAATTCATTGCTGCCTTATAGGACAAGTCGCCCCTGATGACGTCATCAAATTCGGTAATTCCCCTCGGAATATGCTATGTATCTGTTGTTTAGTAATTGGACAGTAAATGGTTGAAAACCAATATCTTTTATCGATTTTCTCAAAAACGGTCTATGTAATTTTCCTGAACTTGATGTAGGTATTTTAAGTTTGATGAGATTAAATTTAAAAGATGGTATCAAGTGAAAACACACCTTTGTTATTATTATTATTATTGTTTTATTTATTTGTAAAACTGACGTTATAAAAAAACATCTAAAATAAAAAAATTAATTAATGTAGTTTTTAAACGCCAAAATTTTGATTTCAATGGGTCTTCCATCTCCATTTTGTAAGATAGATAATCTCATAAATTGCTGAACTTTACTTTATATACTCTGTATATTCTGAAAAATTATAGGTCATGCAAACGTGCCACCTCTCAGATTTCGACTTTACAAATGCCCAAAAACGTACGACTTCATATCTTATTAAAAAATAAAACTAATTCATTACAATAAAAAGAAACAAA